CATTGTATACTTTTAGCTTCTTTATCGAAAATGAGGTGGGTTTGTGGGTTAAAATCTGGATCTTCTATACGATTCCATTGGTCAACTTCTCTGTTTGTGGGTTAAAATCTGGATCTTTTATACGATTCCATTGGTCAACTTCTCTGTTTTTATGCTGCTACCACACTGTTTTCATTACTGTAGCTCTGTAATAGAGTTTAAAGTCAGGGATGGTACTGCCTCTAGAAGTTGCTTTATTGTATAACATTATTTTGGCTATCCCGTTTTTTTTCCATATAAAATTGATTATTGTCCTCTCAAGATCTGTAAAGAATTTTGATGGGACCTTGATGGGGATTGCATTGAATCAATAAATTGCCTTTGGAAGAATTGCCATTTTTACTATGTTGATCCTCCCAATCCAAGAGCAAGGGAGATCCTTCCATTTTCTGGTATCCTCTTCAATTTCTTTCTTCAATGCCTTAAAGTTCTTGGCAAATAGATCTTTCACTTCCTTGGTTCGAGTTACCCCAAGATATTTTATGCTGTTCGTGGCTATCTTGAAAGGTGATGCTTCTCTGATTTCCCTCTCTGCTTTTTTATCCTTTGTGTATAGGAGGGCGGCTGATTTTTTGGAGTTGATCTTGTATCCTGCCACATTACTAAAGGTGTTTATCAGCTGTAGGAGTTCTTTGGTGGAGTTTTTGGGGTCGCTTAAGTACACTATCATATCATCTGTAAATAATGAAAGTTTAACTTCTTCCTTTCCAATTCGAATCCCCTTGATCCCATTATGATGTCTTATTGCTATTGCTAAAACTGCAAGCTCTATATTGATGAGGTATGGAGAGAGTGGACATCTTTGTCCTGTTCCTGATTTTGGTGGGATGGCTTTGAGTTTCTCTCTGTTTAATTTGATGTTAGCTGTTGGCTTGCTGTAAATAGCTTTTATTATATTTAGGTTTGACCTTTATATCCCTAATCTCTCAAAGACTTTTATTATAAAGGGATGTTGAATTTTGTCAAATGCTTTTTCAGCATCTAATGAAATGATCATATGGTTTTTTCTTTCAGTTTATTTATATGATGGATTACATGCCGGGCGGGGGTGGCACATGCCTTTAATCCCAGCACTCGGGAGGCAGAGGCAAGCGGATCTCTATGAGTTCGAGGCCAGCCTGGTCTACAAGAGCTAGTTCCAGGACAGGAACCAAAAGCTACGGAGAAACCCTGTCTCGCAAAATCAAAAAAAAAAAAATTGATAGATTTCCATATGTTGAACTAGCCCTGCATCTCTGGGAAGAAGCCTACTTGATCATAATGGATAATTTTTCTAATGTATTCTTGGATTTGGTTTGCCAGTATTTTATTGAGGATTTTTGCGTTGATGTTCATGAGTGAGATTGGCTGTAATTCTCTTTCTTGGTTGAGTCCTTGTGTGGTTTTGGTATCAGAGTAACTGTAGCTTCATAAAAGGAATTTGGCAATGACTCTTCTGATTGATTTAAGTTTGAAGTTAACTTTGTTAGAAATTAGTATGGCCACACCTGCTTGTTTCTTAGGTCCATTTGCTTGATAAGCCTTTTCCCAGCCCTTTACTCTGAGTAGGTGCCTGTCTTTGTGGTTGAGGTGTGTTTCTTGTAAACAACAGAATGTTGGATCCTGTTTTCGTATCCAATCTCTTCTCCTGTGCCTTTTAATAGGTGATTTGAGTCCATTGACATTAAGTGATATTAATGACTAGTGGTTGTTAACTCCGGCCACTTTTTTAGTAGTAGGGTTTGTGTGTTTTCCTTCTTTGAGTTTTGCTGGTGAAGGGTCTCTAGATGTCTGAGTTATTGTGGTCATTGGTGGACTCCTTGGTTAGTGATTTTCCTTCTATTACTTTCTGTAAGGCTGGATTTGTGGATAAATATTGTTTAAATTTGTTTTTATCCTGGAAAATTTGTTTTCTCCATTTATAGTGAACAGAAGCTTGGCTGGATATAGTAGTCTGGTCTTGCATCCATGGTCTCTCAGTTTTTGCAGTACATCTATCCAGGACCTTCTGGCTTTCATGGTTTCCATGGAGAAGACAGGTGTAAGTCTGATAGGTTTACCTTTATAAGTAACTTGGCCTTTTTCCTTAGCAGCCCTTAATATTCTTTCTTTATTCTGTTTGCTTTGTGTTTTGATTATTATATGGTGAGGGGATTTTTTTTTGATCCAGCCTATTCAGTGTTCTGTTTGCTTCCTGAACCTTCATAGGTATATCTTTCCTTAGGTTGGGAAAGTTTTCTTCTATAATTTTATTAAAAATATTTTCTGGGCCTTTGAGCTGTGACTCTTCTCCTTCTTCTACTCCTATTATTCTTAGGTTTGATCTTTTTATTGTGTCCCAGATTTCCTGAATGTTTTGTGATGCGAGTTTGTTGGACTTGCTGTTTTCTTTGATCAGAGCATTTATTTTCTCTATGATATCTTCAGAAGCTAAGATTCTTTCTTTTATCCCTTGTATTCTGTTGGCTATGTTTGTTTCTGTAGTCTCTGTTTGTTTACTTAAATTTTCCATGTCCATCCGGCCCTCTGTGTGTGTTTTCTTCCTTCCCACCATTTCAGTTTTCAAGTCTTGAACTGTTTCCATTATCTGTTTGATTGTTTTTCCTTGGTTTCCTAGGGTATCATTCACTGATTTATTCAATTCTTCAAACTTTCTGTTATACTTCTCATCCATTTCTATAAGGGCATTTTTTACATGCTGTTTAAGGGTGTCAATCACTTTCATAAAGTCAATTTTTTCTACTTTTTCTTGATTAAGGTGTTCATGTCCTCCTGTTTTGAGGTCACTGGGTTCTGGTGGTTTCATGTTGTTTTTCAGATTGTTGGGTGAATTCTTGCATTGGCACCTGCCCATCTCTTCCTCCAAATGCTCCCCTATGGAATTTCTTTTACAGGACCAGGTCTCCTTGCCCACTGATGTACCTTCCTAGTGATGGCACTCTCCAGTGATGGCTCTTCTGGTGCCTAGATCAGATCTCCATGCTGGTTGGGTAGCTCGTAAACAAAGCGCCTACCTTTCTTGTTGCAGGCAGGCTCTTGAGACAAAGGAACTCCTGTCTGCCTGGTTGCCCTCACGATTTGGACCCAGAGCCCAAACAGGCTGAGCTGGGTGATGTAATGTGCCTGAAGAGGGGAGGGAGGCAGAAGGGGGGTTCTGGATGCAAGCTGGGTGGGATAGAAAGAGAGAGGCAGTATCTGGGGAGTATAGCCCCTGCAGGAAGTCCAGGAAGTATAGGGGGATGAGGAATGTCTGAGTTCCATGTCTAGGGCTGCTGCTGCAGGTGAAACTCATTCACCCTGGTGATGGCTCTCCTGGTGCCCAGATCAGATCTCAGTGCTAGATGGGTAGCTCGTAAACAAAGCACCTCTTCCTTTGCTTTTTTAAAAAATTCATTCACTTCTTTCTTAAGGACATAAAACATCTACATAGTTGATCTAACTTAATTGTACTTTGACTGGGTTTGAATATTCAGGGTGTGCTGTAGTAGGAGAGTTGGAATATGGTAGTGACATATTGTTCTGTCTGTTGTTGATCATGTTATTTTGCTCTTGTCAGGTGTCTGGGTCTGAGGTGACTGCAGGTCTAGGTGCCAGTATCTCTGTTTGTCTTTGTTGGATGCACGTTTATTCCTTGGTTTCTATCTGCTCTTTGGTATTCTGGTCTGTGTTGGCTATGATAGAAGTAGCTTTTTTCCCCATTTTGGGGTCTGGAAGTCTTTCAGTAGGTGTGACATTAGTACTGCCTAAGAATTCAGAGTCATTGAATTGTAGGTGCTTGAACTTCTTCCTGCTTGTTATGCTTACTTTACATTTTTAAAATTAATATAACAACTTGATGTATCGGCATGACTATGGACCACATGAGTACCTGGTCCTCAACATGATCAAAGGATCACAGAATTTGTGAACTTGGAATAATGGATAGTTATGATTCCCAAATAAGTACTGGCAATTCTGCCACATCTATTCAAGACCATCAAAAGCTAGGTACTACTCAGTCATCCCTCTCCCAGCTGTGTTTATTACTTATGCCCAAGTTTTATATTGCTAATGTTTTCATCTGTCCATTTGTAACTGTTTAAACATAAAGCTCTGTTTGTAAAATGTTATTGGCATTACAATTTAAATTAGGGCACTTCGGATGTTTGGAAGATAAATAGAGAAGTGGAGTGAATGTATATTTCTTTGTAGGAACTCCAGTAAAAACCTCTGAGTTCCTCTATTTTTCTTGCTTGATTCACTGATATTTGCAATGTAGACAGTGTCTTTTTGTTTGTTTGTTTTTTGTTTATTGTTTATTTGATTTTTGAGTCATGGTTTCTCTGTAGCTTGGGAGCCTGTCCTGGAACTATCTCTCAAAGTACAGGCTGTCCTCAAACTCACAGAGACCAACCTGCCTCTGCCTCCTGATTGGTAGGATTAAAGGCATGCACCAGCACTTCCTGGAAGACAGGGTTTTACTATGTACTTTCACCTTCCTGGACCTTATTGCATAGACTTGTCTGGCATTTAACTCAGGGAAAAATATACCCGCCTCTGCTTTTGAAGTTCTGAGCTTAAAGGCATGAGTCAATACAACCAGGTTGTCCAACTTATTTTTCTATTTGTAGTTAGTTAATCTTCATAAAATTTTCTCATGTGTACTATATACTGTTGATATGTTTTCTTGTTTCTCTTTGCTAATAGATATTTCACATGTAAGGTGATATCTCATTCAAAGAGTAAAGAAATGACAGAGATGACTCTCCTATACACTTTCCTTCTAAAGTGAGTGTCTATGTCTTAGAATATGACTAGGGAATACCAGAATTTTATGACTATACTATCAAAGAAGTATACATTTACAATGGTGTCACTATCATGTCACTATCATGTATGGCATATTTTAGAAGGCAGTGACCTATGATGATGTGCATATCAACTTCACTTGGGAAGAGTGGAATTTGCTGGATCCTTCCCAGAAGAATCTCTACAAAGATGTGATGCTGGAGACCTACAGGAACCTCACTACTATAGGTAAAAATTAATTTCCTTCTTGTTTCAAAATAAAGGGACAGCTTTTTCTTGGTTAATTATGTTCTTCAATAATTTGATTTAAACCGGGCAGTGGTGGCACACGCCTTTTATCCCAGCACTCGGGAGGCAGAGGCAGGCAGATCTCTGAGTTCGAGGCCAGCCTGGTCTACAAGAGCTAGTTCCAGGACAGGCACCAAAAGCTACAGAGAAAACCTGTCTCGAAAAAAACAAAAAAAAATGAGAAAAAAATAATTTGATTTAGAAAGGAGAATAAGAATGAGGTAAATAAATCAAAATGGTTCTAAGGTTTAGTTAAAATAGTTACTTAAATGATGCATAGTATTCAATATTATAACATACATTTTCTGGTACTGCATTTTAGGATACATTTGGGAAGAACATAATAGTAAAGAACATTGTCAACATTCTAGAAGACATGAAAGGTAATTTTCTTATGCATGCTGAAAATAATGATCCTCTAATAAAATGATAATGTGTCCTAGAAGATTTAAATAAAAGCAACAGTGTGAATAAGCACAGCTTTAAGTGCATTTATGATTATTAACTTCTGAAAAATCCATATAGAATTTCATGTAGTTGAATTACATTTTCAAGGCATTTTTTTTAATTAAGAAATCATGAGAAATGGCTAAACAGATATCAGCATTTGAAGCATACAACCATGAGAGCTATTCTGTAGATCCACCAATCCATTTATTTCTTACTACTCATAATACAAAATGTGTATACATTGGAGTGATGATAAGTATATCTGCAAGACTTTCTAATAAATCGAGAGCACATAGTAAATCTTGTATTACTCATATACTTCTTATTACTATATTAAGATTGGTGACAGAAGCAGTTAGAGTTAAGTGGCAGTTGTTGTGAAGAAACTTCTACTGCACATCTATGAGGAACAGAATGTCACACCGTGATAATTCAGTGTGGAAATTTTTTGTTTGTGATTCTTCCTTTACCTTGTATACCACAAATTACTCTCAATACAAGCCTATGCGCATGGGAATATGGAAAATCACAGCATATCTCTCTCTAAAAACAATTAGAAGATAAGCATTAGTCCCCATGTTAAGTACCCTTTCTCAAATTGATTGAACTATATAAAAAATTGGTTTTCTCACATAACTGTTAATACATAAAAAAAGTCACAGTGCAGAGAAGCCACATGAGTTCTAGAATTGTGCAAATACTTCTTATTGTCCTAGTTTACTTAGCAAATGTAGTATGATTTACAGTATAGGACAGTTTAAGAATGCAATAAAGTTGTTCTGAGGTTATTCAGTTGTCTTCAAATATGTGAAATATGTCAAATTGAAAAATGTTTCTGTAAAGGTGAAAATTTAAACCACATAATAAAGGAATTTACCATGACAAGTGTCTTAAAAAATGCAAAAGAACCCTTAATTACAGAAGAAAGCATGAGTTTAAACAAAGTTATAAAACCTTAATATCTGAATTCTGTTTACTATTAGACTAAATTATAAAAATAATACATACAGATATGTAGGTTCATGAGTGTATTGAATGTGGTAAAACTTTTATGTGTTCCAATTATACTTGCAGGATTAAAAGAAATAATTCTGGAAAGAAATATTCAGTACATCCTCAATGTGATAAAGCCTTGGCATATGATACTCAGCTTCAGAGGAATGAAAGAAAATATTATAGTGAGAAATCCTATGCATCTAATCAGTGTTGTAAAGCCTTTGCTCATCACAGTTCTTTTCAAATGAACACAAGAACACATACTGAAAAAAAACCCTGTGAATGTAATCACTGTGGTAAGGCCTTTGCATATCAGAGTGATCTTCAAAGGCATAAAAGAACACATACTGGAGAGAAACCCTATGAATGTAATCAGTGTGGTAAGGCCTTTGCACGACATGATCATCTTCAATCACATAAAAGAACACACACTGGAGAGAAACCACATGAATGTAGTCAGTGTGGTAAGGCCTTTGTTCAACACAGTCATCTTAAAGAGCATAAAAGAACACATACTGGAGAGAAACCTTATGAATGTAATCAGTGTAGTAAGGCCTTTGCTCAACAAAATGCTCTTCAAAACCATGAAAGAACACATACTGGAGAGAAACCCTATGCATGTAATCAGTGTGGTAAAGCCTTTGCACGACACGGTCATCTTCAATCGCATAAAAGAACACACACTGGAGAGAAACCCTATGAATGTATTCTGTGTGGTAAGGTCTTTGCTCAACACAGTCATCTTCAAATACATGAAAGAACACATACTGGAGAGAAACCCTATGAATGTATTCAGTGTGGTAAGGCCTTTGCACGACACGATCATCTTCAATATCATAAAAGAACACACACTGGAGAGAAACCATATAAATGTAGTCAGTGTGGTAAGGCCTTTGCTCAACAAAATACTCTTCAAAACCATAAAAGAACACATACTGGAGAGAAACCCTATGAATGTAATCAGTGTGGTAAGGCCTTTGCATGACTTAATCATCTTCAATTGCATAGAAGAACACATACTGGAGAGAAACCCTATGAATGTAATCAGTGTGGTAAGGCCTTTGCTCAACACAGTCATCTTCAAATACATGAAAGAACACATACTGGAGAGAAATCCTATGCATGTAATCAGTGTGGTAAAGCTTTTGCACGACACGGTCATCTTCAATCGCATAAAAGAACACACACTGGAGAGAAACCCTATGAATGTATTCAGTGTGGTAAGGTCTTTGCTCAACACAGTCATCTTCAAATACATGAAAGAACACATACTGGAGAGAAACCCTATGAATGTATTCAGTGTAGTAAGGCCTTTGCACAACACAGTACTCTTCAAACCCATAAAAGAACACATACTGGAGAGAAACCTTATGAATGTAATCAGTGTAGTAAGGCCTTTGCTCAACAAAATACTCTTCAAAACCATGAAAGAACACATACTGGAGAGAAACCCTATGAATGTAATCAGTGTGGTAAAGCCTTTGCACGACACGATCATCTTCAATCGCATAAAAGAACACACACTGGAGAGAAACCCTATGAATGTAATCAGTGTGGTAAGGCATTTGGACGGCCCCATACTCTTCAATTGCATAAAAGAATACATACTGGCGAGAAACCCTATAAATGTAATCAGTGTGGTAAGACATTTGCTCAACACAGAGCTCTTCAAATACATGAAAGAACACATACTGGAGAGAAACCCTATGCATGTAGTCAGTGTGGTAAGGCCTTTGCTCAACACAGTGCTCTTCACAAGCATAAAAGAACACATACTGGAGAGAAATCCTATGAATGTAATCAGTGTGGTATGGCCTTTGGACAGCTTCATTCTCTTCAATTGCATAAAAAAACACATACTACCTAGAAACCCTATGAATGTAGTCAGTGTGGTAAGGCCTTTGCTCAACACAGTCATCTTAAAGTGCATAAAAGAACACATACTGGAGAGAAACCTTATGAATGTAATCAGTGTAGTAAGGCCTTTGCTCAACAAAATACTCTTCAATACCATAAAAGAACACATACTAGTGAGAAACCCTATGAATGTAATCAGTGTGGTAAGGCATTTGGACAGCCCCGTACTCTTCAATTGCATAAAAGAATACATACTGGAGAGAAACCCTATGAAAGTAATCAGTGTGGTAAGGCCTTTGCTCAACACAGTCATCTTCAAACACATGAAAGAACTCATACTGGAGAGAAACCCTATGATTGTAATCAGTTTGGTAAAGCCTTTGCACAACACAATCATCTTCAATCGCATAAGCAAACACACACTGGAGAGAACCCCTATGAATGTAATCAGTGTGGTAAGGCATTTGGACAGGCCCATACTCTTCAATTGCATAAGAGAATACATACTGGAGAGAAACCCTATGAATGTAATCACTGTGGTAAGACCTTTGCTCAACACAATGCTCTTCAAATACATGAAAGAACACATACTGGAGAGAAACCCTATGAATGTAATCAGTGTGATAAGGTCTTTGCTCAAAACAATGCTCTTCAAAGGCATCAAAGAACACACATGGGTGCAAAAAGGTATGTATGAAATGAGTTTGGAAAAGTCTTTTCATGTCTTATTCATCTTCAAATGCAGAAAAGGACACAGATTGGAAAGAAACTTGTGAATGGATTTGTTTCGCAAATCTGTTGTCACAATAATCTCCAAATACATGAATCAAACTATCCTGGAGAGAAACTGTAAACTTAAGGATTATAGTCTTCAAAAACATGAGAATAATCATAATGTAGTGAAAAAAATAAACTTAGTGTGGTAAATGTTTTGTACTTGTTACAGGAGTAAAACTTTTTGTGTGTAATCAATCTGATAAAGTTTTTGGGTACCTGAAGAAGACACTGAGGGTTTCTTATTGCAAATTAATTTTAAGCCATCACATTTACAGTCTATTATCCAACAGTATTTATTCTTTAAAAAATGATAGTGTCAACAATCTGTTCAAGCATTATGATACCAGCTTTTATTTTATTTGCACCAGGAAACTCATGGACAAAACCTAATTTGTGATTTTATGAAGTCTTTTGGGAAGGAGATAGAGCCAAGATAAGAATCGCAACCTGGTAGTGAAATGAGATACAAAGGAAAACCCTTTGCTCCTAATTCCAGAACTAGTGAAAGATACAACATCACCCTGAAAACACAGTCAAACATCAAATCTGGATACTGAAAGAAATCTGCTTTGGCTCTCAAACCAAAGCAAAAAAAAAATGCAATCTACACTTGTCTCTCTGAGCTCAAAACCAACCAACTCCAGAGCACAAAATCCAGCCCATCTCTGAGCTTGTTCAAGCCCAGGCATTTAAATCTCACCAGTTCTCACCTTCTAAATCTCCTTAGAGCTGCTCTGCCTCCAAGAAGCCCTATATGAGTCATATGCTCATTCAGTTGGCAGCTGCCTCTTTCCAGACTTGCAGAGGAACTCACACTCTGGATTCTTCCCTCCTAAATAAATCTCTTGACTGAGATTTATATGAACACCTTCTTTCACTGGAATGGATCAGGAAATCTCTAGTGGAGTTGAACTGAGATACAGTTGACATAACTGTTTGGAAACTCACTTAGCCTAGAAGAGCACAGAAGCAATGGACACCTCTTATGGGAGACTCCCTTAGGAGAGTGGAGCAGATCAGCAACAGACATTTCTGCTGGGAAGCTTTCATGGAAGAATGGAGCAGAGCCCAGCTGTAATGACTTTCTCTCAGAGAGAAAGAGAATTGCTATGTCTAGTGGGGGCAAACTCCTTTTCACAGCTGTTGGTGTTGCCTAACTTTCAGTAGTCAGCGTATCCTTCCTTCCATAATTTTAAGACTTGCAAAATGAATTTGAACAATAATGTAACCCTTTTAGATTTTATACTCTCTTCAACTGCATGGAATATGTAATTCAGGTGTAAATATTTATGGATGTGTACTGCCTCCTTTTCAGTTGTGATATAATGTCTTTCAACATATAAAAGCATCTTCTTCAGGTCATGGTTCTAGAGGATAATAGGATCACCATGAAAGAGCCATGACAAAAAGTGTCAGACATGGCACTAAAGCTGGAACTTAAGAACTCAAAGCCGTAATCTTCCACATGAAGCAGAGTGTTGGAACTGGAACTGGCGTATGAATGTAAATTCTCATAGCCTACTCTCAGTGACATATTTCCTTCAGCAGTGCAGCATGTCCTAAATCTTCCCAAATGATACCACCAACTTAGAAGGATTTATTTCTCTTACTTCAAGTTTTAATTTGATTTCTCTTTACATGAACCAATACTTCATGAAGAAAAACTCTGTAAGTAAGCTGTAATATGCCTGGACTCATCTTTTACATTAATAAATGCTTACAGGAGAAAAATTTCCACGTGTGAAAATTTTTTTTAAAAAATTTGCTTTTATTGTAATGACGTGCATGTGTATGTGTGTGTGAGAGAGATAGAATGTTAATGTGCATTCTGTATTCTGAAAACGTTAACACCTTGCATCTTCTTGTAGCAGAAATTACAGGTAGCTCTTAAAAATTTGACCTGAGTCCTTGGAATGAAGATTTCTTAGTCACCTAGACATGACTCTAGTCCTATAAATATTTTAATGTCTATTTATATTACATTGAATTTTGGAAGTAGGAACAAACTCATAAGCAGAAAACAATTTTTATTGACTTTAGCCATCAACGTTGTCTTCAGCTTGAAGAAAAATTATTTTTCATCATAACTTTGAAAGAAGTAAATTACATAACATGTTCTCTCAAGATTAATGGTGGAAATCATTGCATTTTGGTTTCTATTTTGAAACATTTGAGGTAGGTACTAAAGTGTTCTATATTGTGACAACTTTATTTACTAAAATTTATTTTTTATACTTTATATTCCTTCTATGGCTTTTGTTCAGCTTCTATTGTGCCTTTCCCTAGTAATAGGTATTTTTATGATGTAATGTATAAGATGACATCCCCATCATTGAAGTGACCCATTGGTTATTAAAATATTAAAACATGTCTGATCATAATTTTCAAGTAAGGAATTTTCAAGTAAGTGAAAGGGTGGTCAGTTGTTGTTTCTGGTTTTGACTTTCATCTTTTCACAAAATTCCTTGAGGTCTTTTTGCTTATAATTCATGCTGGCTTGGATGTCAGTAATGATTCAGAGATACATTTGAAGTCATGATGCTTATGTGTCTGCCACCTGAGCACAAGTTCAAGGGTAGATGATGAACTCCCAATGTGTTCTGTTTTCTCAACACAATTTAACAATGTTAATGTTAAAATGACTGAAAAATGTGATTATAAGAAACATTAAATACCTCATGTGTGTATTCAAAAAATATTTTCATTTATATTATATTGATATAATAAAGCAAAATAATCAGCAATCAGTTGTGTATCTCATACCATAGCTTGATGTTCTGCTGGGATCAATATTGGGTTTCTTGCCTAGTATTCAACAGTTTCTTCCCACAGAACTATATCAGTGATGATCAAATTTGATTTGAAGAAATAGTACATCAGTTAATTATTGTCTTTCAGATTGTAAATGTAAATTCATTCAAGGGTATAAGGACCCAGGATATCTTGAATAATAAATCTTTGCATATGAACTTATTTATACTACCATACATTTCTAATTTGTTCATTATGAAGGCTAAATATATATTTATAACATTTTCTTAAAAAATAAATTATATGGCAGAGAATTGTCTCATTTAGTAAAGTTCATTGCTGCTAATTCTGAGAACCTGAGTTCTATCTCTGGGTTACCGATAAGACTTCTACAGTTGTTTCCCATATTTTCACTTGGGTGCTTCCATGTGCACACTTCTATATGAGCTCATTTGTGAACAATTTTTCAATACAAAGAAGTGCCATTGAGGTCACTTGCAGCCAAATTGTTCCTTAGGTATCATCACTAGAACTCACAAAGTGGAAGTAGATCATAGACCCCTGTTAGTTTTCCTGTCAGTGCTACATACACATCATGGC